ACACAGGACAGTGACACACACACAGGACAGTGACACAGGTGACACAGGTGACACAGGACAGTGACACACCCGAGGGCCCGGCTGTGCCCGGTGCCGGGGCAGCCTCACCTGGGGGACGCAGGGAAGGGCCCGGCTGTGCCTCGGGCAGGGAGCGCACCTGGGGAGAGAGGGACACCTGGTGTGGCTGTGACACCGCTGGGCCACCGCTGGGCCACCCGGGAACTGTCCCTGGCACTGAGCAGAGGGCCCAGAGCCCTGCAGGGACCACCCCAGGCCAGCTGGGACCCCAGCTCTGTCCCCTGTACCCCCCGAGTGTCCCCTGTACCCCCCGAGTGTCCCCTGCACCCCGAGTGTCCCCTGCACCCCGAGTGTCCCCTGCACCCCGAGTGTCCCCTGTATCCCCCGAGTGTCCCCTGCACCCCGAGTGTCCCCTGCACCCCGCAGGGAATCTCCAGCCTCACCTCCCCCAGGTAGGAGCCCTGGGCAGGTGCCCGCAGGTGCCGCGGGGTGCCCGGGCTGCTGTCGGCGGTGGCCGCGGGCGGTGGCCGGGGCTGGCAGTGCCACCGCTGCGGGGACAGCTGCTGCTGCTGCCCGGGGACGAGCCCTGCGCTCCCCTGGGCCGCTCCCGGCTGCCCGCGGCACCGCAGGAGCTGCAATAAAAGCAGCCCCGGGCTGGATCCCGGCCGTGCCCAGCCGGGAGGAGCCGCCCGGCGCTGCCCGCCTGGAATCCAGCCCTGCTGGAAGCACCGGGCTGCGGATTCCGCCCCCTCCCCAAAAACCCTGCAGGGCTCAGGCGGCAGGAGAGGCCGTGGGGCATCCCCAGGGATCCGGGCGTGCCGGGAGCTGGCCACAAGTGGGAAAAGCAACTCAAGGGATGCAGAAGGACAGGGAAGAGCCGGGAAGGCTCGAGGGAAGGGGGTTGGATCCCTGTTGGATCCCCACGGCTGGAAATGCGGCCTTTAACAGGCGCTGCCTTATCGCAGCCGGGAGTTTTTGGGGCTGGCCAAAGTGGGCTCTGGCTCTGACTCATTTCCAGTTTCGGGAGCCTGGCTCACGTCTCTGCCTTTGTCTGGGGGTTTCTGCCTCCTCCCGGGGGGGTTGTGAGCAGACAGGGGAAACCTGTTCCCCTCTGCCCCGCCCCGAAACGCTGCTCTGGAGTTTCCCCATCCCTCCTCAGATGGCAGGGAAAGAAGCAGCCCCAGGGCTGAGCCAGGAGCCTGGGAGCTGAGTCAGGGCCAGCTGGAAGCTGGAGCCGGCCCCACTGGGAGCACTGGGGGAACTGGGGGTGTAGGGATCCGTGCAAAGGGGGAGCAGCGGCTGCTCCAGGGAGCTGGGAGCTGCTGAGGGATGAATTCCCACCCAGGGCAGGATGGAAACGGGGACAGGGCACAGGCAGCTCATCCCCAGGAGGGGCTGGAGCGAGGTTATAAAGCCCCAAATGCTGCTCATCCGTGTGGGATGGTGGAGATAACTCCCGGCTGGGCCAAGGAGGGGAATTCCTTAAGGAACAGTCACTGAGGGGTTGGGAAAGTGGCATCACTAAAAAACTGGTGGAGACATGCTGGAAAACCCTTGGAAGAGGAGGCTGTGTCCCATGAGGCAAGAACTTCCTGTTGATGGATTGCCTCAAGAACTGGGGCCCACATCCCGGGCCTTGCTCCATGTGCCACTGCAGGGTCCCCTGCCAGCCCCTTTGCCATGGAAATGCTTTCACACCTGCTCCAAGGACCTGCCAGGCCCCTGTCCCTGCCAGCAGCACCGGCAGGGAAAGCTGAACCTGGCTCTTCCCAGGCAGGAGGATCCAGCCCCATCCCACATCCAGCCCCATCCTTCATTCATCCTGATCCTTTATCCATTCTGATCCCACACCCAGCCCCATCCCACATCCAGCCCCATCCTTCATTCATCCTGATCCTTTATCCATCCTGATCCCACATCCATCCCATCCCACACCTAGCCCCATCTCACACCCAGCCCCATCCTGCATTCATCCCCATCCCACATCCAGCCCCATCTCACACCTATCCCCATCCCATACCCAGCCCCATCCCACCCCCAGCCCCATCTCACATTCATCCCCATCCTTCATTCATCCTGATCCTTTATCCATCCTGATCCCACATCCATCCCATCCCACACCTAGCCCCATCTCACACCCAGCCCCATCCTGCATTCATCCCCATCCCACATCCAGCCCCATCCTTCATTCATCCTGATCCTTTATCCATCCTGATCCCACATCCATCCCATCCCACACCTAGCCCCATCTCACACCCAGCCCCATCCTGCATTCATCCCCATCCCACATCCAGCCCCATCTCACACCTATCCCCATCCCATACCCAGCCCCATCCCACATCCAGCCCCATCCCACACCCAGCCCCATCTCACATTCATCCCCATCCTTCATTCACCCTGATCCTTTGTCCATCCTGATCCCACATCCATCCCATCCCCACCCATCCCTCACCCATCCCATCCCCATCCCGTACCCTGCCCAGCTCCAGCTGGGAGCCGTGTGCTGAGAAGGGCTCCTGGTACACCGGGGACTGCATTTCTGCCGCGGGGTTTTGGGACACGAGGCTGCAGACGCTCCTGGCTGGCTCCTGGCTGGGCAGCTGCTGCCCGCTGCTCTTGCCCTTGGATTTCCTGGCGCTGTTTCCCCTGCGCAGCTCCTGCGTGGGCAGCGCTGAGCTGGGCCAGCTGGGCTGTGCCAGGCTCTGGAATGAGAGGACAGACCCTGGAGCTGGCTCTCCTCAGGCTGGGAGTGCACATGGCCATCACTCCGGGCTCGGGAATGAGAGGACAGACCCTGGAGCTGGCTCTCCTCAGGCTGGGAGTGCACATGGCCATCACTCCGGGCTCAGGAATGAGAGGACAGACCCTGGAGCTGGCTCTCCTCAGGCTGGGAGTGCACATGGCCATCACTCCGGGCTCGGGAATCGCCCCAGGCCCTCCCTGGACCCTGCCCCACACGCTCTGAGATTCCTGCCCAGGGTCAGAGCAAAAACCCTGCCTGGTCATCACCTCCACCCCCCTGCAGCTTTGGTTTTGGGATTTCCCAGCCTCTGAACCTCCTGTTTGTCCTTTTGTAATCCCCAACAGCACCAGTACAGGGATGGCACTGGGAATGGGACTGGGAATGGGACTGGGAATGGGACTGGGAATGGGATGGGACTGGGAATGGGACTGGGAATGGGACTGGGAATGGGAATGGGACTGGGATGGGATTGGGAATGGGACTGGGATGGGACTGGGAATGGGATGGGACTGGGAAGGGATTGGGAATGGGACTGGGATGGGACTGGGAATGGGATGGGACTGGGATGGCACTGGGATGGGACTGGGATGGGACTGGGATGGCATTGGGATGGGACTGGGATGGCACTGGGATGGCACTGGGATGGCATTGGGATGGCACTGGGATGGCATTGGGATGGCACTGGGATGGCACTGGGATGGCACTGGGATGGCACTGGGATGGCACTGGGATCCCTCAGCAGTCTTCCCCTGACCAAGCTGAGCCTCCAGGCTCCAGGCAGGGATTTGCTCCAAGCCCACAGCAAACACCAAGGGCAGCGTCCGGCCCCGTCCCAGGGGATCCCCACAGGTTCTGGGGTTCACTCACATGGAGGGGCTGGGAGTGGCCAGGGGACAGCGGCTCCTCCAGCAGCCGGCCCTCGGTGCCCTGCAGGAGGGAGTGGCCGTCGGGCAGGGAGCCGCTGGCCTGGGACAGCTGCTGCAGCGTGGTCACTCTCCCTCCCGACGCCCAGGAGTTCGTCCGGCCGTCCGAGCTGAGGGACCCTCTGCCACTGCTGGGGAACTGTGTGGGGACAAGGACATCTGTGGGGACATCCATGGGGACATCCATGGGACATCCCTGGGGACATCCCTGGGGACATCCTCATGTCCCCGCTGTCTGGGCTGTGTCCCCTGGGCCAGCAGTGGCCCGGTGGCCATGCTGGGGTGTGGGATGCGCTGGTTTTGGGGTGAGTGAGGGGAATGAGGCGGTGCCCAGCAGGAAAAGGGTGCCAGGCACCAGCCCCGTCCCAGCTGGCAGAGGGGTCACCCTTTCCTTGCAGGAATCACAGAATATTCCAGCTTGGAAGGGACCCACAGGGATCACTGAGTGCAGAAGCCACCGCTGTCCTTGTGCCAGTGCCTCACCACCCAAACCTGCCCCAGGCCGTGCCCAGCCTCTGCTTTCCAGGGAATTCAATGTCATTTCTGCCTCTCTAAAGTCCTGCAGTGCTTTCAATCATTTCCAGGGATCAGCAGCCTGCTGACAGCTCCGAGCTGAGTGCCACCGAGGTGTCACACACGGGACACGGAGTGCTCCGGCACCCTCACCTGCCCGGGCTGCGGCGGCTTTGGCCCCGAGAAGCTCTCGGAGCCCGAGAGGGAGGAGTCTGCGTTTCGGAACTGCGCGGTTTTCAGGCAGTAGAGCCACTCCTGGTAGTCCTGGTAGCTGGGACAGGTCACCCGGATGGAGTTTATCAGTCGGCCTGGAAAAACATCCCCGCGCTGCTGATCCCGGGCTGGATCTCTCGGGAATCCTCGGGAATCCTGCTGCTCCACCCCACCCCACCTTCCATGGGATGTGGAGGTGTTGGTGTAGGGAATGCCCTGCCCTCGGTGCTGCCGTGGCCCCCAGGCTCTCCTGCCAGGCAGGACACGGAGGATCCCAAATTCCCAAGCGGGGCAGCACGGCCGAGGCTGTGCCAGGCGCTCTGTGCCCGTGCCAGGCACCCACCTTCGATCAAAAAGGAGCTTTTGTCGTTCTCCTCGAACAGCACCTGGATGGCGTTGAGCGGGAGCTCTCCCTGTGGAGAGAGGGGCAGGATTGGGATCACGGAGCCAGCAGAGCTCCTGTCCGTGCCATGGGGCACAGCTCTGGGGCAGCCCCTGCAGGCACCCGGGTAGCCAAACTCGGCTCCCACGGGAGCAATCCCAGCGGGATTCCTGCACATCCCAGCGGGGTTCCTGCATCATCCTGCACATCCCAGCGGGGTTCCTGCATCATCCTGCACTTCCCAGCGGGATTCCTGCACATCCCAGCGGGGTTCCTGCATCCTCCTGGACATCCCAGCGGGATTCCTGCACATCCCAGCGGGGTTCCTGCATCCTCCTGCACTTCCCGGTGGGATTCCTGCATCCTCCTGCACTTCCCAGCGGGATTCCTGCATCCTCCTGCACATCCCAGCGGGATTCCTGCACATCCCAGCGGGGTTCCTGCATCCTCCTGGACATCCCAGCGGGATTCCTGCACATCCCAGCGGGATTCCTGCACTTCCCAGCGGGGTTCCTGCATCCTCCTGCACTTCCCGGTGGGATTCCTGCATCCTCCTGCACTTCCCAGCGGGATTCCTGCATCCTCCTGCACATCCCAGCGGGATTCCTGCACATCCCAGCGGGGTTCCTGCATCCTCCTGCACATCCCAGCGGGGTTCCTGCATCATCCTGCACTTCCCAGCGGGATTCCTGCATCCTCCTGCACATCCCAGCGGGATTCCTGCACATCCCAGCGGGATTCCTGCACTTCCCAGCGGGGTTCCTGCATCCTCCTGCACTTCCCAGTGGGATTCCTGCATCATCCTGTACATCCCAGCGGATTCCTGCCCCCGGGAGGACTGTGTAGGGCCGGCGCTCCATCTTCCCCTTCCCAGCAATCCCTGAGACACCCTCTGGATAAAAGTCCCACCTCGAGAACCTTCACCGAACATCCCACAGCTAACTCCAGCCGCTTCCCCTCGCTGCTTTCCACCTCGCCCGGGGTCTTTCCCCACCGGAGGATCGGGGCGAGCCCAATTTCCCTGCGGCGCAGGCAGGGGCGGCTCCTGCGGGAGCTGCGAGGCTGCACAAGGGCCGGGCTGTTCCCCCAGCTGCGGGAAGGGAAGCGCCGCAGGAGCTCCCGTGCCCGGACACGCCGGTGGAAAAGCAGGTTCCCTGTCCCAGGCTGCTGAATCAGCCCCGGGAGAGCGGCACCGTGGGAATGGAACACGGCCTGGGGAGGGAACACGGCCTGGGAAGGGAACACGGCCTGGGAAGGGAACACGGCCTGGGAAGGGAACACGGCCTGGGAAGGGAACACGGCACGGGACAGGTTTAGGGTTTCAAAAGAGATGAGCTCATGGGAGAGCCGGGCCCAGGCCCCCTTGCGTGGTGCCCCATTCCCAGGAGCTACAAACAGCACATTCCCGAAACAGGGCTGTGCCAGAGGCGTGTCCCAGCTGCTGGAAAACGCCTTCCAGAGCTGCTCTGGGATGGGGAGAGCTCCGCCTGGTCACGGCCCTGCCCACGGGAAGGAGCCTCCCGGGAGATGCTCCTGGCCGGGAGAACAATGGGAGCTCTGCAGGACGCGGAGCAGGGCCCCGCTGGGTTCACGGGGGATTTCACAGCCCTCCAGCCCTGCAGGGCTGTTTGGCCCCGGCTCCCGGCTCGGTGACTCAGGGATGCAGCAGAGCAGCAGCTCCGGGGTCACAGCCAGGTCACTGCTCCTTCTGGCACATTTGTTCCAGCGCAGCAGGAGCAGAGAGCGCAGGGCTCTTAAGGAGCCATCAGATGATGCTCCAGATCCCAGGAGCACAGAAGGGAAGGGTGGAGAGGCCCTCGAGCGTCACCGAGCCCAGCCACGCACCAGCACAGCCGTGCTCCCGCTGAGCTGTGTCCCCGAGTGCCACCGGGGCTGTCACTGCTCCCCTTCAGGGCCGTTCTGAGCGCTCGGTGCCACCGCCTGCCCGTGCTGAGGCTCCAGCATTGCTCCCACAGGCAGACACAGCACAGAAGCTGCTCTGCCATCCCTTGGGATGCTCCCTGTCCCTGCTGTCCTTCTGCTCCCGCAGAGGGAGAACGCTGCCAGCGCTGCAGCAGCAGCAGCCTCCCCACCCCTGCCCTCCCCTCGCTGCCTGTGCCCTTCCCCACAGCATCAGCTGCGCTGCCAGACTGCTCCCAGCTCCAAAGTGGTCCCGTGGCACCGAGCCTGGCAGGCAGAGCCCCCTCAGGGGCACTCTGGGGCCGTGCCAGCTCCTGTCTGGAGCAGGAGGGCTGGGCTCCCTGCCAGCACAGCCTCCCCCCTCCTCCTCCCAGAGACTCCTTGGCAGGCGGCTCCCTCCCCCTGGGCTGCTGGAGGAGGGCAGGTGTTTCTCATGGGAAGGGATCTTGCACCATCCCTGCGCCTGCTCCCTGCCAGCTGGCACGGGAGGGAGCACCAGGAGCACGGGGAGCACAGGTGGAGGCGAGACAGCGGCAGGATGCTCCGAGAGGAACTCACCTTGAAACAGAGGCCGTCAGGCTCCTCGGACATGATCACCAGCGTGGAGGGGTAGAGCACCAGGAGCCGGTCATGCTGCTCCTTGGGAAGCAGACAGGAAAAGGGTTGGATCCCTGGGAACAGCCAGAGCTCAGAGCTGGAGAGCCCTTGGCCTTGTCCTTCTGACAGCGGCCTGGGGCAAGGGCTCTGGGAACAGCTGAGCTGCTTCCCTGTGCTGGGAGAGGGGTTTGGGAACATCTGAGCTGCTTCCCTGTGCTGGGAGAGGGGTTTGGGAACATCTGAGCTGCTTCCCTGTGCTGGGAGAGGGGTTTGGGAACATCTGAGCTGCTTCCCTGTGCTGGGAGAGGGGTTTGGGAACATCTGAGCTGCTTCCCTGTGCTGGGAGAGGGATTTGGGAAGGGCCAGGCTGCTTCTCTGCACCAGGAGATCCCTGCCAGCTCCAGCTGCTAGCGCTGTCCTTGTGCTGTCCCCAAGCCCCACTGCCAGCCCACAGGAGCAGCAGGAGATCTTTTTCCCTTTCCATGTGGGTAAAACACCCCTTGGGAGCTGCTGGATTGGTGGCAGCAGGGAGGCTGCAGCAGTGATTCCATCCATGGACCCATCCATCATCCATCATCCATCCATCCATCCATCCATCCATCCATCCATCCATCCATCCATCCATCCATCCATCCATCCATCCATCCATCCATCCATCCATCCATCCATCCATCCATCCATCCATCCATCCATCCATCCATCCATCCATCCATCCATCCATCCATCCATCCATCCATCCATCCATCCATCCATCCATCCATCCATCCATCCATCCATCCATCCATCCATCCATCCATCCATCCATCCATCCATCCATCCATCCATCCATCCATCCATCCATCCATCCATCCATCCATCCATCCATCCATCCATCCATCCATCCATCCATCCATCCATCCATCCATCCATCCATCCATCCATCCATCCATCCATCCATCCATCCATCCATCCATCCATCCATCCATCCATCCATCCATCCATCCATCCATCCATCCATCCATCCATCCATCCATCCATCCATCCATCCATCCATCCATCCATCCATCCATCCATCCATCCATCCATCCATCCATCCATCCATCCATCCATCCATCCATCCATCCATCCATCCATCCATCCATCCATCCATCCATCCATCCATCCATCCATCCATCCATCCATCCATCCATCCATCCATCCATCCATCCATCCATCCATCCATCCATCCATCCATCCATCCATCCATCCATCCATCCATCCATCCATCCATCCATCCATCCATCCATCCATCCATCCATCCATCCATCCATCCATCCATCCATCCATCCATCCATCCATCCATCCATCCATCCATCCATCCATCCATCCATCCATCCATCCATCCATCCATCCATCCATCCATCCATCCATCCATCCATCCATCCATCCATCCATCCATCCATCCATCCATCCATCCATCCATCCATCCATCCATCCATCCATCCATCCATCCATCCATCCATCCATCCATCCATCCATCCATCCATCCATCCATCCATCCATCCATCCATCCATCCATCCATCCATCCATCCATCCATCCATCCATCCATCCATCCATCCATCCATCCATCCATCCATCCATCCATCCATCCATCCATCCATCCATCCATCCATCCATCCATCCATCCATCCATCCATCCATCCATCCATCCATCCATCCATCCATCCATCCATCCATCCATCCATCCATCCATCCATCCATCCATCCATCCATCCATCCATCCATCATCCATCCATCATCCATCCATCCCTCCATCCCTCCCTGGAGCCATGTCCTACCTGGAAGGGCAGGTGCTGGAGCTTCACCTTGGAGACACAGAGGATTTCTCCCAGGGATTCCCGCTGGGTTCCTCTCCATTCCTGCACGGGCAGGTTCTGCACGGACCAGCGCAGCTCCTCCTTGTCACTGGTGCTGGGCGTCCAGCCGCTCTAGGGACAGCACACCCTGAGCACGGGCACTCCCCTGCCTGCAGCAGGGCCTGGCCCACCTGGGGACACTTTTTTGGTGTGGCAGGAGCCGGAAAGAATAAATAAATCTGGGCAGGGGGCAGTTTTCCAGCTGGGAATGGATAATCACTCCCCACACCCAGCATCGCCTGAAGTGCCTTTCCAAGGGGGATATTCTGTTGTGGGGAGGGAATTAGAACACCCTCAGAGCCTGGGAGAGACAATCTCCTCAATCTGGGCCTGTTTTCCATCCTTCAGCCTCCTCCTCCTCCTGATGTTTTGCAAGCTCTGGGTGGTTGCACAAGCACCCAAAAGTGTGAGAGCTTCTCTGAGCCAGAGCTGAGCTCTGACCCACGGAGGTTGTGCTGCTGCTGGTGGCACCCGTGGGTGGCAGCTCTTCCTTCCAGCACACCCCTCTCCTGCCAGCACTCTCAGACCCCCCTTGCAAGCTCTTTTTGCCCCCTTTTTCCCCAGGAAAGCCCCCCAAGGGAATCCATCCCAGCTGGGAGCCGGCAGTGGGACACGGCCGTGGGACACCCACCTGGGACAGCAGGGGCAAGGCCAGGCCCCCTCCACAGAGCTGGATCTGCTTCTCCAGGTGGTAGAGCCACTGCTTCAGCTCGGCCTCCGAGGGGCAGAACACGACCAGGGGGTTCAGCAGAGGTCCTGGGGCGGGAGGCAGGCGGTGAGTGGAGCTGGGCAGGGACTGCAGCATCCAGCCGGCACAGCTGGCACTGCACGGCCCTCCACGGGGCGAGGGGACACCCCTGTCCTGCTGCCACCACTGCCAGCCCTTCCTGCCACCCCCCTCCAGCTCTTCCTGCCACCCTCTAGCCATGGCAGAACCTCCACGCTCTGCCCACCACACCAAAGGGCTCCTGGGGACACTCCTGTCCTGCTGCCACCACTGCCAGCCCTCCCTGCCACCCTCTTGTCACATCAGCCTTCCGAGGCTGCTCCAGCCCCTTCTCAGGTGCACCAAGCCCTGACCACCAGACGCTTTTTAACCCCAAACTGGGCTAAGAACAAATCCCAAGGACGGCACAAAAGCCAAGCCTGATGTCCACAGCTGGATTTCAGCTTTTGAACCCCCCAGCAGTTTGTGGGCAGCCTCTCTGGGGCAGGGACCGTCCCAAGGCACTGCTCCCTCAGCAGAAATCCCTGCCTTATCTCCCAGTCTCACCTTGGCTCTGCACAGGGAGAGCACCAGCAGCTTCCTGACACTGTTTGTTTGTTCATTGCCTCACTGAACATCACCTGTGCCAGCCAAGCTGAGGATGACTCCAGACATCCCCTGGGAGGGAGGGACAGCCCTGCAGCTTGTTGATTTTAGTGTTTCCAGCTCTCACTCATCCCAGGGCGGGAGCACAGCCTCCCACACCCTCTGCAATAACCACTCCTGGCAGGCTGCAGAGTGCATGTTGGCATTAATAATTTACCACTCAGCCCGTGTTAAACCCTGCTTGCTGCAGGCCCAGGAGGATCTGCCTCTGTGGGACTTGCAAGTGCCCAGATAAGGCCGGATAAATGCGGGACTTTGCCCTCCTGCGGTATCTTTAGTGCCCTAATTCCTGCATTATTTATAAACAACCTTTCACTCAGCCTTTGAAGCCCGTCTGTCCTGCAGGAAACGCTCGGTAAACAAAGCTGAGCTGGGGCAGAGACTCCCTGAGCGACTCCAAACCCAGGACAGCAATTTGGTGTCGAGCATTTTCTGGGCATCCACGTGTCCGTGGCTCTGCAGTTCCCCCGTTTCCTCTTCCCTCGGTTTCCCTGTCCTCACAAGGAGGATTCAGGGATGGTGGAGCAGCCAGGAGAGCTGATGCTGCTCTCTGGGCATCCCCTGGCCATCCAGGTCCTCGCAAGAATTACAAATGCAAATGGAAGGCGGCAGGAATCACAGGGCATGACCCTCACCCCGAGGGCATCACCCATTGCCACATCTAAACAGGGCCCAGAAGGAAGAGAAAATGAGGAAAGAAACTCCCGGGACACGCCTGGGGCTGGGGCAGGAGCTGCTGCGGGAAGTCTGAGCTGTGAATTCAGCCCCTGCCATCACCTCGGGCCCCAGGGACACGTCCCAGTGCCCCAGCCGGCCCTCGGGCTCCTTCCTCTTTCCTTGGGACCGCTCCCAGAGGAACGCTGCAGGCAGGAGAGCCCCTTCCAGCCCAGGAGCAGCTTGTTCCCACCCAAACCCCTCCGAGGGGAGCCACCAAAGGGTGCCCAGGTGCTCCCCAAATCCCTCAGCACCCTCACCTGGGGGGCTGCAGGTGACAGCCAGCCCCTGTCCCCGTGCCAGGAGGGCTCTGCATCCTTCCTTCCCCACATTTCCAGGATCCTGCAGCAGTTTCCAGGGAGCTGAGCCAGCCCTGGCCGTGCAGCAATGGGGAACTGCTGTTCCCACAGCATTTCACAAGCCAGCGGCTCTGGGGTGCCTCAAAGTCATGGGATGAGGCTTTTCCACCCTGACCCTGTGTGGGGACACGGGAAGGGCTCCTGGCCCCTCTGTGCCTCGATTCCTTCCCCTCTGAGCCGGGAAATAAAACTGTTCCAGCATGTCCCAGCAGTCCCCAATATCCCTGCTTTGCTCCAGAGCGGTGCCACAGGGAGAGAGGCAGCTCATCCCTGGGCACTGCTGCTCATCCCAGGAACCTGAGCAGGGCCCTCAGGGTCACTCCCTGCCCCCAGCAGAGGTGGGAGAAGGAATTCTCCTCCATTCCCTGCTCCCAGTGACCCGGCAGAGGTGGGAACTGTCCCCACGTGTCCCCACATGTCCCCGGGCCCATCCTTCCCCTGCCCTTCCCTGGGGCAGCCCTGGGCGTCCCGGAGCAGGGAAAGACGTTTCCAGAAGAAAGGCAGAGTTATCCCCCTGCAGCCTCAGGGGCAGCCACATGCCAGTCCCGCTCCCAAAGCTCTCACACCCACCTGAGATGTGGAAAGCGTGCTCCAGCTGCCCGGGGCTCTGCCCAGCCCCCAGCTCCCGCACCTCCAGCTCCTTCAGAGGCAGCAGCCCCTGGGGAAGGAGAGCAGGGTCATTTTGTGCTCCATCCCACAGCAACCCTCTGCCACGCTGAGGAATGTCTTTATATTCCACGGGGTTTTGGGCTTTTTCTTTCCATTTTAAGAGAAATCTCGGTAAAATAATGGTAGTTCAACAGGAGAAAGCCAGAAAATGGGATTGGCCCTAAAGGAAGATTGAGCTGTCCAGTTCCCAGACTCTGGATGTTCAGATTCCCACTCTGGCAAAGGCCAGGAACAGGGGACAACTTTGTCCTCCCTCTTCTGGGCTCCCTAAACAACCTCCACAGAAGATGCTAATGGCTCTAATGCCTTGGGGCACATTAATTCCTTGTTAATTCCTCCACAATTAATAAACTCAGGAGCTGCTTCTAAAGGAGTCAGGAGAGTTTGGGATGTTGTTTGTCTCCTGACATGGGAATTTTCAGTTGAAGGCTGCCTTGGGGGTGACTGGAGAGGTTTTACTGATGTTTTACATCAACCTCAAGTCCCCTAAAGGCTAATTAATCATTTCTAAGAGGAGCTAATTCTACAATCATCTCCCAAATACGCTCAGTTTTAGTTCCTCACTGGTGTGGAGGAAGAGAACATTCAGGGGCTGTTGTTTTACAGCTGTGGCTCTTTGGCTGAGGTGCAGAACAGCTCATTCATTATTTGTAACTCCCCAGCACCACCGGCTTAAAAGATTCATGAGTGGTTTGCCAGCAGAGCTCCCCGAGGCTCAGGTTTCTCTTCCCACCCTCTCCCACAGAATAATGAATGCTGGAAAAGCCCATCCTGCAGCTGGAGAACTCCCCCTTGGCCCCAGGGCCAGGGGAATTTTGGGTTTGCCAAGGGCTCAGCACAAAGGTGGCTCCAGGGCTGGGCTTTGGAACAAAACCCCCTTTTGGAGTTCAGCAGCCCCAGGAAGGGCTTGGGGACATCCCCTGGAGTTTGTCTGCCCAGTGCCCCCAGCGTGGCCGCAGTGCCCAGAGCCCAGCGCGCCCAGGTGATGCCCACCTGGTAGGTGAGGCCATTGGGACCCGTGGACTGGAAGTACAGGTAGGACTGGAACAGCTCCAGGAAGCAGTTGTTGACCTCCTGCAGAAGGGACACGTTTGGGGTTATCTCAGGACACCTTTGGGGTTATCTCAGGACACCTCTCAGCCTCCCTCCGCATCCCAGGCTGATCCCTGCACGGAAAAGCTTCTCCAAGGGCCACATCTGTGCTCCTGGAAGCACTTCCCAGGTGCCCACAGGGACGATGCAGGTGGGCACCATGTGGCAGTGCCCAGGGAATTCTCCACGAGTCCCATTTCCCAGAACCACCCCTCCCTTCCCAGCCCTGCAGGGTCACACCATCCCTGGGCAGAGAAACACCCCAAAGAGGCGTCTCAGCTTTACCTGGCAGTGCTGGAACTTAAACTTGACCTTGGAGTAATAAATCATTTTGCCCAAATTCCTGACAATTGTTTTCCTTCGGCCCTTCTTGAACAGGCTGGGGAACCTCTGGTCCAAGTTTTCCTTCTGGTTTTCCTGCTTCTGAATAATCTGTACCGAGGATACGAGAGGGGAAAAACAGATGAGAGCTGGTGGAAGAGACATTCCCAGAACATCTTCCCAGCAGGGATTCCTCGGAAAGGCGCCCTGGGCAGGTGCCCAGGATGGGCTGTTTGTTTTTGGGTCTCCTTGCCAACGTGGGGCCGGGGCTCAGTTACTGCCGGGAGCAGATCCTGCCCTAAAGCTGCGGGTTCTGGGCTGAAAAAGAGGGGGGCAGAGGCACATTTCACTTTCAGGGTGTCCCAGTGCCACAGAAAACCATCCCAGTGTGCCCAGTGCCTTCCACGGGGGTGAGAGAAAGGTTTCCTGTGCTCTGATTCCAGCTGGGTTCCCATCTCGGGTCCCTGCTCGTGGTTTCTCTGGCTTCCAGGTGCCGGACAGTTCTGGGGCAGAGCCTCACAGCCACAGAAGCGGCTGCAAGGCAGATTTTGTCCCTGCAAAAAGCCTGGAAAAGCTACAGGAATGCAGGGAGCAGCACGGGAGAGCCAGGGCTGAGGAGAGGAGGCAGCACACAGGGCCGGGGGCTTCCCGGATTTCCCAACGGGAATTCTTCCTTCTGTGCAGCACAGCCCCACAACCCTCACCTCTCACACCGGGGGATAAAGTTTCCTGCGCTTTTCCTGGGAAGAGCACTTGGATTGCTGGGGCTGTCCTGGGGAGAAGGGAAGATCCAGCAATCCCCCCAGCTCCACACCCCGCCTGCGGAGCCTGGGACCTGAGCTTTGCTGGGCACTTCCAGACCCCGGGAATTCATTCCCAAGGCAGGATGGGCGAGGGGAGGCTCGCGGTGCTTCCCTGCGGTTCAGCAGGGCTGCTGACACCCCCGGCACGTCCCCGCTCCCGGTGCATTCCCGCTGTGCCAGGGACAGCTGCGGGTGCCCGTGATGGATGAGGATGAGGAAGAGGCACAGACACCCAGCTCCGTCCTGCGGGGCCCCTCCGTGACTCACCCCGCAGGCATGGGGTCAGTCATCCCGCTCCAGACATGGCAGGGAATGGAGCGGGAATGGAGCTGGGGAACTGGGAATGGAGCGGGAATGGAACTGGGGAACTGGGAATGGAGCTGGGAATGGAGCGGGAATGGAGCTGGGAATGGAGCTGGGAATGGAGCGGGAATGGAGCTGGGAATGGAGCTGGGAATGGAGCGGGAATGGAGCTGGGAATGGAGCTGGGAATGGAGCGGGAATGGAGCTGGGAATGGAGCTGGGAATGGAGCGGGAATGGAGCTGGGAATGGAGCTGGGAATGGAGCGGGAATGGAGCTGGGAATGGAGCTGGGAATGGAGCGGGAATGGAGCTGGGAATGGAGCTGGGAATGGAGCGGGAATGGAGCTGGGAATGGAGCTGGGAATGGAGCGGGAATGGAGCTGGGAATGGAGCTGGGAATGGAGCGGGAATGGAGCTGGGAATGGAGCTGGGAATGGAGCGGGAATGGAGCTGGGAATGGAGCTGGGAATGGAGCGGGAATGGAGCTGGGAATGGAGCTGGGAATGGAGCGGGAATGGAGCTGGGAATGGAGCTGGGAATGGAGCGGGAATGGAGCTGGGAATGGAGCTGGGAATGGAGCGGGAATGGAGCTGGGAATGGAGCTGGGAATGGAGCGGGAATGGAGCTGGGAATGGAGCTGGGAATGGAGCGGGAATGGAGCTGGGAATGGAGCTGGGAATGGAGCGGGAATGGAGCTGGGAATGGAGCTGGGAATGGAGCGGGAATGGAGCTGGGAATGGAGCTGGGAATGGAGCGGGAATGGAGCTGGGAATGGAGCTGGGAATGGAGCGGGAATGGAGCTGGGAATGGAGCTGGGAATGGAGCGGGAATGGAGCTGGGAATGGAGCTGGGAATGGAGCGGGAATGGAGCTGGGAATGGAGCTGGGAATGGAGCGGGAATGGAGCTGGGAATGGAGCTGGGAATGGAGCGGGAATGGAGCTGGGAATGGAGCTGGGAATGGAGCGGGAATGGAGCTGGGAATGGAGCTGGGAATGGAGCGGGAATGGAGCTGGGAATGGAGCTGGGAATGGAGCGGGAATGGAGCTGGGAATGGAGCTGGGAATGGAGCGGGAATGGAGCTGGGAATGGAGCTGGGAATGGAGCGGGAATGGAGCTGGGAATGGAGCTGGGAATGGAGCGGGAATGGAGCTGGGAATGGAGCTGGGAATGGAGCGGGAATGGAGCTGGGAATGGAGCTGGGAATGGAGCGGGAATGGAGCTGGGAATGGAGCTGGGAATGGAGCGGGAATGGAGCTGGGAATGGAGCTGGGAATGGAGCGGGAATGGAGCTGGGAATGGAGCTGGGGAACTGGGAATGGAGCTGGGGAACTGGGGAACTGGGAATGGAACTGGAGAACTGGGAATGGAGCTTGGAATGGAGCTGGGGAACTGGGAATGGAGCTGGGAATGGAGCTGGGAATGGAGCTGGGAATGGAGCCAAGGAACTGGGAATGGAGCTGGGAATGGAGCTGGGGAACTGGGAATGGAGCTGGGAATGGAGCTGGGAATGGAGCTGGGAATGGAGCTGGGGAACTGGGAATGGAGCCGGGAATGGAGCCAAGGAACTGGGAACAGGAGCCCAAAGCGGTCAGGACCCTTCCACCTGCAGAGCACAGGGCTCCTTCCAGGGCCTCGCTGAATTTGGGTTGCTGTTTTTAGGACACAAGTTAACCCTTTCCTGCTGAAATCCTCCCTCCAAATTCCCAGCTACAGAACAGAACTTAGGGAACACCCTGGGTGCCCAGTAAAGGTCTCACTGGGGCAGCTCAGCGCAGGAAAAATGGTATTTGTGCCACAAATGCAGAGCAAAGAGCAGCTGGTGACAAAACACAGCTCGGATAAGGGCACCAGCAGCACCTGGGAGCGGGGAGAGGGTGAGGTGATAAAATCGTGGGCACGGAGATAAGGAACAGCACCAGGCTCCAGCTGCCAGGGCACTGCTGCTGCATGGGACAATTCCCAGGAATGAACAAGGCACCCAGAATCTGGGAATGCAGCAGCAGCACCGGGAAAGAGCTTCCAGAGGGATGGGAGAGCTTCCACAGCCACTGGTGTGTCAAGGAATAAATGGAATATTTCCCTCCCCGAACGAGCTTGGGAGGGGTGGCAGCGAGGCTGAGGAGAGGGATGTAATGGCTGAGCACAGGAGCAGCTCCAAGGCCACGGAAAACCGGGATCGCATCCCTGAAATCTGCTGCCCCTCCAGCTAAAGGGGCCGGAGTTTTCCCTCCCGCTGGAATTCTCCGCAGGCCGGGCTGTGCAGTCTCCTCCAGCCCCATCCCGGTTCCCGTTATCCCAGCGTTATCCCTGGAAAGGGCTGTTCCCGGCCGGGGAGCGGCTGTCCTGACACGTTCTCACCGTTCAGGTAGAACGAGTTCCTGAGCGAGCGCTGAATCAGCGGCAGGAGGAGCCCAGCGCTGCCCCGGGGCTCCCGGAGCTGCCGTTCCATGAGAACAGCACGGAGCCTCCCCCCGGAGCCACCGGCAGCCCTGGGAACGGTGCGGGGGTGCGGGATGTCTCTGTCCTGCCCGTGCGCTCAGAGCCGGGCGATGCCAGCAGCTCCCGGGAGGTTTCTCCCCGCGCTCTGCCCCGGCCCTGCCGCCGCTGCCGCTCCCAAAATCGCGGCTGGGGACAGGGGCAAAGCCCAGGCTCCTCCAGGCCGCACAGGGAGCTGGGCCGAGCCGGGAGTTTGCATCCCCTCTGCCCCAGGCGAGGGTGAAGGCCAAAATCCTGCTCCCCGCTCCTTCCTCCCGTGCTGGAGAGATCCCGGGAGCTCCCAGGCCAAGCATCTCCCTTCCCCAGGATCCACCAACACTGACGGCTCATCCTGCTCCCCACGGAACCGGCCAGGATCCGTCTGGGACCTGGTTTTTGCTGCCTGATCCCTTTGGATCCAGCCGATTCCCACGGGGAGCCTTTCCTGGAATTCCCTCTGCCTGGCACTGAGGCCGTGCCTCAGTTTCCCCTTCCCCACACGCACGGGATTGATGAACACCCAGCGCAGCCCAAACGCTCCCAAAATTCCACCCACACCTCTGGCCCACCCAGCGGGACCCTCGGGGGCTCCTGGCTCCCCTCTGCTCCCCCGAGCAGCGTTGGGAACGGGGCCATGTGGCCACAAGGCTGGGCCGTGCCTGGGGCAGCCCTGCCCTTCCTGATTCCCTTCCCAGGCTCCTCGCTAATCCGCTCCTGCTCCGTCTCATTCCGGCGTGGGAATGAATCACCCCACCTGCCAAAGTTCGCTCGGCTTTTCCCTTCCCTCGCAGGCGGCCCAGAAACAAAGGAACCGAGAGTAAAAGGTGTGGGGGAGATGTCCCCCTGTCCCCCTGTCCTCATGTCCCCACATCCCCATGTCCCCCTGTCCCCTGTCCCCCATCCCCACATCCACACATCCCCCTGTCTCCTGTCCCCCTGTCCCCACATCCCCCTGTCCCCCTGTCCTCATGTCCCCCTGTCTCCACATCCCCCTGTCTTCATGTCCCGACATCCCCATGTGCCCCACTCCCCAGGTCCCCATGTCCCCAGGTCCCCACATCCCCCTGTCCCCATGTCCCCCTGTCCTCACATCCCCTTGTCCTCATGTTCCCCTGTTCCCCTGTCCCCATGTCCCCTGTCCCCACATCCCCCTGCCCCCTGTCCCCCTGACCTCACCTCCCCCTGTCCCCTGTCCCCTGTCCCCTGTCCCCCTGTCCCCCTGTCCCCTGCTGGGCTCCCAGCACCACCCCTGGCTGAGCCAGGTCCCCTCAGGGCTGGGAGAGCTCACCCCTTGCTGGGGTGTCCCTGGGACGGAGCTGCTGCCACCCCCAGCCCCAAAGCAGCGTCCCCCCAAGGGCTGTGCTCGGGGTGGGTGGGAATAAACCCTGGAGCAGCGGGGAGGGGGCTGGAGCTGCTGGAACTTGCCTTTGCTGGAATATACTGCAGGATTTTGTCCGTGGTCGTGTCTCTCTCCTGGCCTCCGTCTATCCCAAAAAAGCTGGGCAGCTTTTTCTTGCCATTTTGTCTACAGAGGGAAAAAAAAAAAACCAAAACACAGATGGAAACAGATCCAGGCTGAGGCACAGTGAATCCTGCCCAGAAATAAGGAAGCCAGAACACCAAGCGAGCGATTTGTCACGGGCTTTCGAGTCATCCCAGCCCGGCCGAGGGCTGACAAAGCCTGGGAGAACTGCAATGGGATTTTGCTGCACTTGTTGGGGTTTCTCTGCTTTTTTACAGCCAAATGATCAGCTCGGCTCATCTGTGCCCCCAGAGCAGCGCAGGGCCCTGGCAGCTCCTGCAGAGCCCCTGGAACGGGGAGGGATCCGCACAGATCCGCGGGCAGATATTCACAGAGGGTTTGTTTCTGCCTCGGTGGCCTCCCTGTCCCTTTCCTCCCATTCCCAGTTTCTCCTCACGTGCACACCAGTACCAGGCAGCCACTGGGAAGTGCTGGGACATCCTCAGATTGCAGCAGAAAACCAGGATAATCCCCATGAGTGTGGGGAGCTGGGGGTCAGTGGGACAGGAGGAGCTCTGGGGCTTGGCTGTCCCACCACAGGGCCCTGATGTGAGACCCCCAGATCCCAAATTCCCTGAGGGATCCCCCCTCTTTTACCCCAAATTCCCTGAGGGATCCCCCCTCTTTTACCCCAGATTCCCTGAGGGATCCCCCCTCTT